TTTGATTTTAGGGACCGAAGAACATATTTTTCTTTCATCAATACATTGATTTCGCAATTATACCGTTTATCTACGCTACCCAATTTTATTCTATAACGTTATGTTTTTCCAAAACTTCTATGCCACCGAAAAGTCCGGGGTTACCTTTTCACCTAAGCTCTTAATTGTAACCTTTCTGCTGCATACCGCTTATGTATGAGTTTGGACTTCCGGTGTCAATTATCGCTCGAACAAATTGGTTATTCGCTCTTCCATATATGCGAAACAACTAAAGTTTGAAAATACTTCTGAACTCCTTGCTTGATTTGAAAGTACTTTATTTTCTATTGTTCGTCTTTTTTAATTTCCGAAACCTCGACAGAAGGATTTTGTTTATTACAATAATGTGCATGTTGTTTTTTACAAGTAGAACAAGTTATTTTTTGTTCTGCAGTTGGAGCCAAATGGTGTAATTTTAGGCATTAGCAGCACATTTTTTCTTAAAGTCCCTTTTTTGGTAAGGATAAGCCGGAAACGAAACTACAGTCATAAATCTTGGAAATTGATTACAGAAGACGCAGTTCATATTTCCTCTCTGCATCGGATTTTGTAAACAATCAGTAGCGGTCGGAATCTTTGGTTTATTATGTCTATTTGAGAAACCATATGCGCTTTTCGTTCCGGGGGGAGAAGCCTGTCGCCGATCGGATACGTTTGCTGTGCGAACCGTGACCTCGTGCTTCACGGGATGGAAAGTTCTGCGTGTAAAAATGACATTAAATCTTTTACGTTATAATCGGTGCCAACATTTTGTGTTCTATTAAATTCAAGCGTTAATTCTGAAGGCAATAACTTCAAAATCATCAGACACAGCAAAGCGCTGTAAGATTCCGATACAACATCTAACGTTTCGAGCCATCTAATCTGTGTTTGTACTTTATCATACAAGTTACGAAATGTTTTTGTCATTCGTATTTTTTAATGATTCAACATTCAGCAAATCATTCATGTGCGCATTAATAAGAACGTCTCTCCTTCCAAAACGGTCGTGTAAGATTTGAATCATAATGTTTCGGCGATAACGGAAGTCCTTGAACGCAACTAGCAGCTGTTCCTCCTGAATATGCTTTCAGGGAATTAAATTTGTCTACTTTGTTCAATGATTCGTTATTATGTATTGAATACTGAAAACTATTTCAAAAAGTAAGCCATTGTCTACTCTTTCCATAAAATACGGAAATCGAAAGTTTTGGTAATTTAACATTAGGTGTATCTTTAATATTTTGCTGAGTGTTCGGTGCATTTAAGTCATTATCCTGGACCGAAACTACTGAAATCTTCGCACTAGGGTCATGATTAATTTCCTTAATACGTTTCTGAATTCCGTTTAAGCCTGAATTTCCATAACGTTATCATCTCGCGATATTGTTTTGTAATTTCGAATTCATTTTCGAATCATTACACTCAGAATGATTCAACTCCCATCGGCATTAGATAGCGTTTCGGTTTTAGCATTAAAGCTGTTCTAACAATTCTTCAAGCTCATTAATAACTACATTCAGATTTATTAATTCACTTTCGATTTTCTTAAATAGTTTGTAACGGCAGTTCTAAGATACTTCTTTTCTTTTTTATTTATCTACTTCAGCCATTATCTTTCTTAGATTCAACACTTACACAAAAATATACGTCTCATGAAAAACAATATTTAACTCTTACTAGAAAACAAATTATTCTTTGCTGAATACTTCAAGAACAAGTATTAAAATCTTCAATTTAATATTCAGCTTTGAATTCACTTTATTAGAACTTTTCAAAAACCTGGTGTCCCTGTTCGGGCGCCATAAAAATGTTGCATCAGGTTCTTCTATTTTAATAAAATTAATGTAAATTCCTTCTGCTGCATCTTCAGTGTTCACGACGCCAGGCTTCTAATAATCACGTTTTCAGTAAGAGTTTCTAATACTGCTAACAGCCATTTGTCTTTAATTATTTATGGAATAAAAAGCTAATATACACTATTTACAAGGTGGTGATATATTTAAGACAGTACATCTTTAGTTGAGTTTACGCTCCTCGTCTCGGAACTTATTGCAGCAAAAGTAAGGAAGAGATGCCCGCCACCTAGTGGCAAGATGTGACAGATGGTATTGAGTGCAATATATGTCTTCTGTATGATTATCTGTGTGAGTGGAAGGTGTAACTTGTTAAAATTATACTTTTTTTCCCCGGGGGAGTCATTAATTTATAGTTTATTCTGGTATGTTTACATGATTGCTATAGTAAATATAGAAATTAAAGACTAATGTGAGAAATTACTCAGTAAGTAGTTTGATTTGTAAAACAATAGTACTGCAGTTGAAATATATTTGATTTTCCAGGTAAATAGATATATATATATTAATTGCAATAAGAGTTAAATAATATATTAATTTTTCTAGATCATTCAATGGTTTAAATTTATTTGTGGGCTCATGATTTTTACCAGTCTTTACTCAAATGGATTTTAGGGTTATTCCGAAATAACACAACGCAATTAGAACAGGTTATTGATACTGGTTGTTATGGTAGGAAAGAGTATTCTGGTGTTATGTCAATTGTAGATACCTTTTGTAACGTAGGAAATTAGAAGGTAAAAATTCAAAAAAAAAAAAAAAAAAAAAAAAAAAACCCGTAACGATAAGGAATGTGAAATAATTGGTTTGCTATAGTGTAATTTGAGTACCAAAAGAATGAAAGACAGATGTTCCCTGACGTGAATTTTGATCATGTCAATTCTCGTTAAAGGAATTTGCTTATTTTGAAGTTGGATTTCACTGCTATAGCATGAGCACCAACACATATTCAAATTAAATATTTTAGCTTTATTTAATTTTAATGAAGGAGTGCAATTACATTTGCTGCCCCTTGATGGTGCAGCATATGCGCTTATATGGAGTTAATATTAAGTAATAAACTAGTTAACTCCTACTAGTTTTAACCAGCGTCCTCTTTCAAATGAAATTCTCTTTCCGTCCATATACAAATCTTGATGGTTTTTTCCCTTGGTTACAGTCTCTTTTTTCTAAACTACGAGATAAGTTCCGTTTCAATTTATCTCCGCTGCAGCTCTGCGATCGCAGTTCCGCACATGCGCAGTAGACGCTCTGTATCAAGGGAAGAAGCGCGCCATTTGGAGATCGCTGTCAGTACGTACGCTTTGTTGTGCTTGTTACAATTCGGTGTTGATTGCAAATCTCGCCGCGTGTGAATCAGATCTGTGATTCGTTTTCTGAATGCGAGGAAAGTGAAACCTAGTGAAATTTATCGGCAAATTTGCGATGTTTACGGACCAAAAGCGCTGTGAGAAGATGGGTCCGAAAGTTCACGGACCGTAGTGAGTGCACGATGAAGAACGAAGTGGGCGTCCATCTTTGGTTACAGAAGAACTGGTTCACGCGATTGATGACAGATCCATGAAACCGAAGGTTTACATTAGTGCTCTCGCTATGGAATTTCCCTAAATTTACGATCACTAATGCATGAAATTGTTACTGAAAAAACTGAAATTTCGTAAACTTTGCTCACGTTGGGTACCAAAGATTCTTACTGAGCAACACAAAACAAAACGGATGGGTAGTGCACTTCAGTTTTTGACTCATTATACTGAAAGCGGCGAAGAATTTCTGACACAGATAGTCACAGGAGATGAAACTTGGGTTTCTTACGACACCCCTGAAAGTAAATGTTAATCCATGGAATGGAGGCACACTTCATCCCCAACAAAGGTTAAGCCGAAGCAAATCTTGACACCTCGAAAAATGATGTGCGCAGTGTTCTGGGACTGGAAAGGCATCTTACTCATTGATTTCTTACCGCGTGGTCAAACAATCAGAGCAGATGCTTATTGCGAGACACTTCGGAAATTGCACCGCGCAATACAGAATAAGCGCCGAGGATTGCTGTCAAAAGGTGGTGTTTTTCTTCACGACCACGCACTGCAAATGTGACGAAAAACCTCCTGCAGGGATTTGGCTGGGACGTGTTTGACCATCCTCCGTACAGCCCTGACCTCGCTCCTAGCGACTTTCATCTATTCTTACATCTTAAGTCTTTCCTTGGCAGTCAACACTTGAACAATGACGACGAGCTGAAACTGTTTCCAACTGGTTGAAGACACAGGCGGCAAATTTCTATGAAGAAGGTATACAAAAACTTGTGCCACCCTATGACAAATGCCTGCAATATTTTGGCAGTTATGTGGAAAAGTAGTTTAAGAGCTGTTGAATTTTGTGCAATAAATAAGTTTTTCTGTAGCTGTACACAATTTACTTTTATTACCAAACGGAACTTACTTTCTGGACGTGCATTGTATAATTATTTCACATTTTCTATGGTTAAAAATTTTCATTTTTGTCAGCACTTAAAAAAGGGTGGCAGTTAAAAATAAATAAATAAAACATTTTTAAGCTCAATTAAAAAAAATTAAAGCCCCCATTTTACAAAAATGCTTGGATTTTCAATTTGAATGCGTCCCAAAAGTACAGAATCTCTTAAAGAAAAAATTTTATTAGTATGTGCGAAAACAAAAAAATATTAAACTCTTCCTTATAATATATTTGAAAACATTTTACAAAGTAGTTTACACATTTTAATCTCCTAATGTCTGTGAAGTCTAAGTCTTGAAAAATATTTTTTACATTTCCATATTCAGCATTTTAAAATGTAGTTTTGAGGAGAACTGCAGTTTTATCATTACAACAAATTTGTTTTATACATTCTATCATAGAAGTCCCTTTAACTTTTTTATTTAAAGTTAGTTGTCTTGAGGCTTAGTGAATAGCAAACTGGCTATTAAAATGTGTCCCCCTTACTGTGGATGTAATATCTATCTGATGCCTGTTATCAGCTCTATGAAATGTTCATATCATTTGGGGAAAAAATATAAATTTATTGGTTGTGAGTTACCATTCTGTATCAATCTTTATGAAAACCAAATCTGTGAATTTAGTGGCATGCAAAAATAATGAATCAAGACACAATCAAGCTTTAGTAAATCTGGCCAATTTTAATTTTAAAAATATAGACATTGTAAGATCCATCCATTTCTGTACAATAAGCATTGCTTTTTATGTGGATAACATATAAATCCACAATCCCAATACCTACTTCCAATCAGTGGTAGTAACAATAACTGTGTTGCAGTGCTTGTATGATCTGTACAGTCTGATGGCTAAACTGCTGAGTAAAAAGAATTTGAACTGTGACAAAGAATATCTGCACAGGAAAATAGCTTTCCAGATTTTAAAATGTGCATCCAAACTGCACCTACAGTACAAATGAAATACCAGACAGACATTTTCCTTTCATGCTACATGGCATAACTGTACAACATGCGACTTCCCTCCTTGTAAATACAGGTCCTCGGAGAAATTCAACATGAGAGTAATTTCATCTAATTCTTTTTTGTTCACAATTTGGCTATGGTTTCACACCATAGTGACATTATAAACATATATAATCCTACATACATATATATATATATATATATATAATCTGGTATCATAAATTTATACAGATCTTAAATAGTATTAAGGACACTTTCATTCAAAATATATACACCAAGTGTTCTTTATGAACAGACAATACAGAATAATTACTGCATTAAGTTCATCACTCAAAATAAGTAATACTATTTGCAATAATATTTTTCCAATAATAACAAATATATAATTTATAAGGAGTTGCTCGCCAACACATAATTAAAGGCAGGGAAGTCGCAACGTTTTCAGCAATTAACATTAGTAGGACATATACACAGGAAAAAAAAAAAATGCTATATTACAAATAAACAGCAACCAACACCATATAACAGTCTTTGTAAGGCGCATCACTTACCAATAACAAATATCACATCTTAGCTACCAAATGGTAACAATAAATATCAGGCTTCAATAGTGAGAGTATACCATAAGAGTTTAGCCATCCCCCAACTTTAACAGAGTAAGTCTAAATTTTCTTTTATTGAAATGAGGACAAGAGATGTTGATCAGAAATTACCTAACTAACTTACAATGACATGGAATATAAAGTTTAATTTACAATAATGAAATACTATACAAATATAACAACATAATAATTTAGGCTATCATGATGTACTACATTTCATACAAACTCAGAACTGAGAGAAATACCAATTCATTTAAATATTTATACATAGACTGTTATCTTTTGAAATATATGTGTGATTTGTTTTTTTATATCCCATGTCTTGCACACATGCAGCAAAATAAAGCGGAGAAGATGCAGTCAAAACAAAACAAGAAAATCTGTTCTATAAATCAGCTACAACTTCATTTTTGCAGAACATAAAATGCTAAATTTTATCTCATTAAAAAAGAGTATTCTGAGCAGAACTATTAGCTGGAATTTTTACATGACTTTATATCAGTAAAACACAGTAACATCAAGTTATTTATTTGCAAACCATACAATATTAAATGCACTGTTCTATTTAACTTTTATTTTTGAAATAAAATAAGTGATATTTAAAATAGCATATCTGGAGGAGATGTGGCCATAAGGAAATATAAAATATACATTAAATTCTCATAACTGCTGTTTTTACAGCTATGAACTAATTAAAAGATGTCATCTCTTGTGAAATTACATCCTGTAGCTAAAATTAAATTACATTAAATTAATCAAAATTGAAAAATTTAAAAAGATTTCTGTTTTAGGGCTTTCAAAAGTCTCCTGGCAGGAGGAAACAAAGGATCATGATCAGATAAAGAACTAACCAGGAGGGGATTGAAAATTGCACTAGTTTAATGCTTTATATTGGCAATTCAAAACCTGTCAATATCCTCCAGAATGCACAGAACATACATAACTGAATACTTTGTTTACAAGTCTGTACAATTTCATTTAAGAGGCAACAGATTAGTAGTTTCCTTACATGAGCAATTACCTATAAATCATCTTATCTGACAAACAATTTTATTCAAATTTTACATTTAAGTACTAAACAGAACAGTTCTGCCATTCAAACAACAAAACATGCATAAGTACACATGCTAAAGCGATTTTTTTAAAATCGTAAGCACCAAGCAAAATTCTATACGAGTCTAACCACGGATGAAAGCAACACTTTCTACTAGACAAGAAGTAAAATTATTTTTTTCATGAATATAACAGTTATATAGTAGCAATCTGTAACACTAAATCACACTATGTCACACATTTGTGCTGCAAAAAGTAAGGCCCCATACCACGATATTTAACAGGGCTCAAAGTTTTCAATAGTTTAGATTACCTGCACAATTTTATACCATGCATTGTAGTTCCTATATACAATTAAAAACCACTTTATAAAAAATGCTGTTTTTGAAATTAATTAATTAATTATTATTATTTATAATTTTAAGACACAGATACATTCTTACCTTAATTAAATTACATTTTTCGAGAAAGAAATTAATTCATATTTAGGGGAAAATAACTGTAGTTTACAACAAACTTATTTAAAAAACTGAAGGGGCCAACTGGCGAATTATTTAATTCTAATTTTTGGAACCTTTTACACATAAATTTTCTTATTAATAACTTTTTTACTTTTAATTATTTACCCTTTTTGAAAATTAAAGTAAAATTTAAAAAATTGCAGACTAGAATATAACAAATATACATAAAACAAAGAAATCAATGATTAGTGATTAACCTACACACAGGTTGAATGTGGCCTCTCTCATTGTTTAATTCGGCTCATTATGAAATCATGTGTGATGGCATTTTCATATCTTTCCCCTACCCAATTTTGGATGCAAACTGCTGAAAACAGTAGCATGACAGTCTATTGTTACAGTGTATATGCACATTTACATGGATGGCTATACTAAAAACAAACCCGAGTTCACTACATATGCTACAAAGCATGAGCACCCACCAAAGGATATAGTCCTATTTTTATTTCCGGTAGCTTTAATTTTGAAATTAAACAATGACATATGCAAATGGTTGATATAAAAAGACATTAAAAAGTAATTTAGGGAAAGAATATTTCACCTCTAAGTTTTTATATGAGAATGGAACAGTATATATGTCAATCACCTGATGATAAATATAAACAGATGTCGTTTTTGGCATATTTGTTATTATTTTTTTAATTTCTACCAGGGAAACTCCCTATCATAGTCTGCTAACAATAACAGCACCGCTAAAGATCATCACAAGCCTACCCACATCACACACTAAAAAATAACTTTTTGGCTTGTGGTCAAATGTATTTGCCTACCTCTAACTTACAGCATACAATTAAAAATAAAGTTTAAACTGCCCAAAATACAACGAAAGATAACGGGCATTTCAGGGAAAAAAATGTTTATTATTTTATAAATTAAATGTTTATTAAATTAATGTTTATTATTTTATAAATATGTGCAATCGTAACTGTACTGTCCAACTATTTGGTTCCAAAATACTCTTTCAGTACTAGCTGAGAATATTCATTTTCTTTAAAACAAAGGTGAAAAAAGTTATACACATTAATCTGAGTCCATTTAAATCAATAAGCTGAGTATATTTGTACTAATTATTGACTTGACAACATTTTTAATTCTGTGGCTACAAACTTTACGAAAAATAGAATATTAAAATACAAAAGAGTACTCTTTTTTAGAACAGAAATATGTTTAACTATGATTAATAAGATTGACAATTAATATACCATTAAAATATAACACTGTTCAAACTTTAAGCCCTGCAATTAGTAATCCACAGTAAAAAAATTCTGCTACAGCACATAAAGCACCAGGTGTTCTTAAATGTAAGGAATAAGGACGAACATTTATTCTAGCACCCTTTAAAGAACTGCAAATGTTCGCGCATGAGACCTGAAATCATCTGAGATATTTTTAGCAGATCGTTTTCATCAACAAGACATACTTATAATAATTTACTAGGTTTTTAATTTTTAAAATCTATTTACAGATGATTTTAAATAGTATCACTAATGTTTTCAGCACACTGTTAAAACAATTCTAAAATAAACTATGGGACAATAAATTGAATTTCACAGCTTCCATTTATAGATGCAAATTTAACAGTCAAAAAAAATTATAAGGAATATTGGATAGTAAAACATTATTCATTTTTATCAAAATGAATGTTTTTTTGTGCATGATCAAGGGAGTAACCAACAGAAAAAGTAACAATTCATTTTTAAAATATGGGTTGTACAGTATCGAATTTATAATATTATGTAAATACATTTGTACATATTGGGCAACATGAAAACGATTTAATGAAATCTGTGGCATTATATACACACTTTTTAGTCACTTCATCATATAATGACGTGAAACTTTGCTTCATTAAAAATAAAACTCACATATATTTTTCTTTTTTACATGCAGAAGGAAGATAATAAATCTGTTATTTTTGAAATTATCTGGTAAGGGCAAAAACTAGATATCAGACTATGCCTAAGATTCTTTTAACACCCGACTGTCTCAAATTCACTTTGACAACAAAAAACCTGGTCCCATTTTTAATACTCTACGTTTTCAGTCTCACACACCACAGTGTCTGAAACGGTCATCGAGTTATTGCAACACTTACCAGATAATACATAAAATAGCATTATTTTGTTACATAAAAATAGCAGTAATATGAATGTCAACATTCAAACATTTACTGACCATAAAACAGTGATGAAATTAAACCCTATATGATAATAAAAGGAGTAACTGCCTCAAAGAACAGGTTATTATTCTTTATTGAATGAGGAAATGTTTTAATGCAAACTAACCTAATTAACAGGCATTGTTTCTAACTTGTTGCAAAGACATGTTTTCCAGCAACACAAATGGTATAATACAAGGAAGGATGAAGTATGGGATTTATTTTTATTGGTGTACGAACATAACATAGACTTGGAGAATATTAACATGAGAGGTACTCGGTCACCATATATAAACATACGATTACACGGGAAGCAGACTCATATATGTATTGAATTGTGTAAAGAACTGATAAACCATGATCCCACCCAGTTATGAACAAATCTTTACTGCACATGCTCCGTGAGTTAAAAATAGGAGTCTCTTTCTCATTCACCATAGACTGCAGTCCCTTCCCTTGCACACATTTGTAGCTTCAATAAAACTAGCGGCCAGGAAAACAATTTAGTTCTTTTCCGTGCCAAACTTATTTTGTGCGTTTCTTCCATTGAAACATACCTGCTTCACAGCAGAAATCACAACCCAAAATATATGTTTTCAGTAATGTTTTTATAATCAACAGATTCACTCATAGTATAACTACAAAATGGAGCCACAAATGAATCACAAAGTTTTGTAACTGTGTCTTTCTTCGCAAGGGCTACCAGGCTGGACAGTTAGTTTTCGATTCAGCATACCGAGAGCTGCAGGTACTTATAAAAATGGAATGGTTGTAGAGTGAGGCTCATAATATGAATTTTATTGTTGAATATCCCAAATTTCTTCGAGGAAGGCAGGAAGTTTTTTGTTCTGGACCTTAAGAGAGAAGCACAGCTCAGAGTTCATGTTGCCAAGCGTGCGCAATTCCACAAGTGTAGAGAGCAACCTGGCGAAGTAATTTTTACCTGGGGGTCGGTTAGTTGATATATATGCCCTGAGAGTTTCAATGTAAAATTCTTGAATTTTTTCCACTTTCTTTGGCTCTAATAGGCTGGGCCTCTCTGAAAATTAGAGAAAATTAATTAAATACCAGAATCAGATTTTAAATAAATAATTCGATTTTATTGCTTTATGTACTTGCATAACCAAATGCCAAAATCAGTTGTTTTATTTTAAACTCCACTAAGAAGCATACAATTCTATTTAATACCTAGAAAACTAATATTCAACTATTAAACAGAAAAAACATGACACACCATGCACAGTAAAAATGAATTATCAAATGGTTTTTGTATATGATTACTTTAACATTTTAATTACGAAAATGTGTTATGGAACAACAGCATTCAGATCAGGTGAATGCATGCTGAATAACTAATACGAGTATGAACATTAAATGGGTTAAATTGTTAAAATTCTGGAAAAAGTACTGCAAACTATTAAAAATAATTACATAAACTTCTCTTCATAAGCTAGAGTTTTTACTTCCTTGTGTGAAGTAAACAAAGTGTCGTAATCGCAAAAAAATTCAGGTGTTATATTTCAACGAAAATATCCAATTTGATTGCTCTCAAAACAATCTCAACAATGATTTTGCATGACATCTCTATCTATGGACAGAATAAAAAAACATACTGTAAAATTGATTTAAAACAGATTCAGAAGAGATCTCTTTTATAACATCTATATGTACGTACAGTCAAAAGTCGTTAATCCGGACTCGTCGGGACTTCGGCGATTCCGGATTATAGATCATCAGTTTAAATCTGGTAAGATGGCATGCAGAAATTATAAAATTAAAAATATGAAACCATAATTTATGAAATAAAGAACAATTATGATCTAAAGGGTATCAAAATTTACACACACACACACACACACAAAAAAAAAAAAAAAAAAAAAAAAAAAAAAGCAAGCTTAATATTTATTTGTTTACTTTATTAAACATTTCTTTCAATGTAAGTTGTTTAAGTTGCTTCATTTTATGTGATAATACTTTCTCTTTAATTCTTTAAATGGACATAATTTCTTCTTCAGTTACAAAGTTCTGCTGTTCAAGTCCTATAATTGCTGTGTCGAGAATACCGACTAATTTGTCAATCGAAATTTTTTCGTTTTCAATAACCTCTGTGTCACTTTCTTCACTATCGGAGGCGAATTATAATGACGAGGAACTTGATTTAAATCATACCAAAGACGGAGTACATCGAGATGAAATACTACATTTAGTAAGGAATTATAAGCCAAATAAAATAAAAACATCTGCCCTGAAGATAAGGATAGTGCTGACAGATCAACTTCCAATTCATTGCGCGTCGCGGTGTCCCCCCCCCTCCCTGCAGAGCAGCGTAAAATTGATAAACAGATTTCGGAATGGTTAGAGAAACGAAGGATATGCCTTTATCCATTTTTTGCAGCAATTCCACTTTTTGTTTAATGAACTTCGAAACATACTTTCGCTTTGTAGATCCTTTTCATATTAGTAAATATATATCGGAAATTCTATTTGACATAATTGAAAGTTCAAGGTTACTTTTTTTAAATTGCTCTAACAGTCTGCAAAAAATAATAAGCCGGATTCAATTAGAAGATTAAGGAACAACGCAATCTGCAACATTAACTGAAATAGATAATTAGATACTTTTAGCTTAGCTCATACCATCCGTTATACATTTAACGCGCATGCGTAAATGTATTATGCGCATGCGCACATGCATATTCGCAGCCATAAAGGTCTTACGCGCATGTGCAGAAAGTTTGTAGTTTTGAGGTCCGGATTATAGATAATTCCGGATTATGGGTGTCCGAATTAACGACTTTTGACTGTATTTATCTCACATAACTCAAGAATGAGTTGGCGTAGAACATTGAAATTTTGTATATGGGACAGCTGTAACATGTAGTTGTGCATCTCCCTTTTTTCGTTGCAATCGGCGGCACCAGTCGTGTATGTGTGTGTATATATGAAAAAATAAAAGCACAAGGAAAAGACAGAGCAGTGTCGATGCGTGCTTAGATCCATATTTAACTTGGTACTATCTAAAGAACTTGGCAGTCGAGGCAGTTTTAATTTCAGTTTTATTTGCAATTGATGTTTGTGGCCACAATCACTTGGCACTATAGTCGTTCCTTTCCCACAGAAGATTTACATTTTTGATATTGTTGAGATAGAAAGCAAGCTAGTGAAATTACACCTTAGCAAAGTAGAGAGCAAAGCTGAAGTGCGTAGTTATGCAAGACGGAAGCACGCGAAGAGAAAAGTTTTGGTTTGCAATTTAGTGATTGGTCAAGAGGCATCTTGCATTAAGGGTTAAGTAAGATTGCATGATTCATTTGAATGACGCAGTTTAGACTAAAGTGCTATTTTTAGGACAGATAGATGAAGTTCCCAAATGAAATAGAAAATAAAAGAGGTTATAGTGAATTAAATTTAGAAGTTTGCTTTCATATTTTTTATCTTACACATTCCTCCCTTTCACAAGAAAATGGCGAAGTGATAGAGATGCCTTTTTGAGAGAAAGAGCATTAGAGTAGCAAAACATAATATATAATTTTGAAACATACAAAATATAATATTAGCTTTCAAACAATAAAATTATAATACATAAAATTTTGAGTTCAATAATAATTTTTAAAGTCCTATGATGATTTGATTCCAATCTGTAGAAAGTTCTTGTTTCTGGAACATACACATCATAATTTTGATACTTCGGGAAAGATTTCCAAAAAATTTTTGCACACAAGATCACAATAACAAGGGTAGAAAATTCTTGTTTTTGACACATTCACATCATAACTTTGATATTTCAGGGAAGGATTCCCAAAAATTTTTGCACACAAGATCACAATAATAAAGATTTTATATACCCATAAATTATTACGAATAATCATAAATCTTAAAATTTCACACCAAACCAATTTTCACATTTATATGTAATACTTTCATCATTTGGAACAGCATTGTTGAAATTATGATTTTTACTTTTACTACTTTTATTACAATTTTCTTATTTTATGCAAACTAGAAGAGCCCACTGCTTTCTCCTAGTACACACATCCAGCTATTTGGGCAAATCCACTTTAAACAGACTCATGTGTTAAATTTTCATGAGTGGTTAGTGAACTGCACTATAGCATTCCATTATATTAAAAAAAAAAATCACATTCCATTATATGAAAAAATAAAAATTCTATATAATAAATAAAGTAGGAACCTTCAAAGTTTATATTATATTACATAACGAGGGTAAAAGGAACAATTATGCAGAGGTAAAACAGGCCTCTGTTTCTGAACCAATACTCCCTCATACTTCATATTTAACATACAATTATTGATAATTATAACATTCATTTACCATAATTCCAAACAAATTTTAATACTTTGTACTCATAATTAAATTTTGATATAAATTTTATTTCCATTATTCAATTTTCTTAAATCTTTGGTATTTGTATATTAATTTTAACAATATTTAATATTCTCCCATTTAATAATTATTTCATTTATACTTCGTATAGACATCATTCTCAAAATAATTATAAAATTCTTAATATTCAAATTTTTAAACAACAATATTAATTACAAAATAATTTCAAAATTTTTATTTTGTAAACAAATTCAAAATTTTTAACATTAATTCAAAAATCTTTGACAAAACTTATAATTACCCATAACAATAAAATTTAAAAATCTTCCCTGAATAAAATCATCTTAGAATACTTATCCATTTTGATTTGATATTTTCGTAACACAGTGCCACTTTTTTTTTATATTCATCGAATTAAAATCATTTTGTAAGACAACACCACACTTTCAGATTTCAAAAATATAATCAATTATTGAGTAAGTTATTTATAATGATGCAGTTGAAGAAAAACTCAAAACACTTTTTTATCAGGTAAAATCAAAACACAAATTCGGAATATGGGCACTTAATTTTCTGGACCGAAACAACTAATCACACTTCAATACCACTTTTGATGATTATATTACATTATATGCCATAAATCATTTCCATACTTGTTGACACACTATATTTCGATGTTACAGTGACCTTGGCCTGATTGGGAATCCAGATGAATATTTTTCATTTTATCCACTCGTTAAATGATGTGAGATTAGTTGACATAAATGTTCCATTAAGGTTACCACAGGATTTGTCCTGTCGACTTATAAGTAGGTGCCAGAAAATTATATTCGCTTCTGCTTTTGCGTAATTAAATCTACACAGGGAACTGATATTTTTTCTTAATAAACTGGATATTAAAAAATGTAACACTGTGATATGAAAAATATAATTTAATGATATTAGAGATTTTAATTCTGATAATTTAGAAAAGTAAATAAGTAATTCTTAGATTTTTAGTTATTTTTACGGAATGCTTTTAAGATAAGTTTTTATATTTTTGAAATTTTGTTGAAAATTTTGAATACGAATTTTATAATTATTCTAAAAATGAAGTAGATGTAAAAAATAAGTGAAATTAGTACAGCTAAGTAATATGAAATTATAGTAAATGCATGTTAAAATTTATGGGTGATTGTGTGTTAAGTATACAGTAGGATGAGGGTGTACTGGTTCCTAAACAGAGGACTGTAATTACCTCTGTACAGTTGTTCCTTTTACCCTCTTAATGTAAGATAATGTTGGAGGCTCTCATTTAATGAGTGTGTGTAATTTTTTATATTATTATACTTTTTTATTGTGGAATACATTAGTGCAGTTCTCAAAGGCCAGTTACCTTATGCAAGGAACAGAGGCCTTTTCAAGTAACTGCCTGGGCACTCTGGGCCACCAGTGCAGAGAACACACTGGTTAGCTTAAGAGGACAGCCCTATTGAGAGATATGTTTGTTTAGAGGTATTGTGAGGCATTTCAGATTGGTAAAATCAGGAATTGTAAATGAAAGATAATAACGGTGAAACCATAATTTCTGAAACTGTTACTCCTATTATATTTATGGTGTTAAAATATAATTTATCAATATGGAAATTAGTATCATAAATATTTATGTGTGTAAACAGCTAAAGAAAGCTAATCCGCGAATTCGCTACAGTCAACAAGAGCAGTTTTCTAAGAAAACTCTTAAAACAACAACAAAACTAACTACAACGAACTGAGAGGTTTTCCTCCTTTTATAAGATTTTAAAATTGCGCGCAAGAATTTTTCTCGAAATCAAAAACAGATATTTTTTAAATGTTACATGCACACGCTCTTGTATTTTCAATTTTCCATCTTAGCTTTCTTTTAATATTCGTCACGCGCTGCACTGCGCGGGAAATAAAACCATTTAATTTACAATTCAACTAACATAAGCTATTTAAATACCAAATCCGTAACACTATATATATATATATATATATATATATATATATCTATATAGATATCCGTAACACTATATATATATATATATATAGATATATATATATATATATATAGTGTTACGGATTGGTATTTAAATATATATATATACACAGTCAAAAGTCATTAATACGGACTCGTCAATTCCGGATTATCGGTTTTTCTGGATTATGGATCATCAGTTTAAATCTGGTAAGATGGCATGGAGAAATTATAAAATAAAAAATATGAAACTGTAATTTATGAAATAGAGAGCAATTATGATCTAAAGGGTATCAAAATTTACAAAAAAAAAAAAAAAAAAAAAAAAAAAAGCTTAATATTTATTTGTTTACTTTATTAAACATTTCTTTCAACGCGCGCATGCGTAAAGCATACATTACGCATAGTCGAAATTAGAAAATTGCAATCAGAAAACTATTTTATGTGTATTCGTGATATTTATAATGACGAGGAAATTGATTTAAATCATATCGGAGTACATCGAGATGAAACACTACAGTTAGTAAGGAATTATAAGCCGATAAAATAAAAAACATCTGCCGAGGATAGTGCTGACAGATCAACTTCCTGTTCATTGCGCGCCATAACGTTCCTCCCCCTCCGCAGAGCAGCGTGAAATTGATAAGCAGATTTCGGATTGGTTAGAGAAACAAATCACCTCTCTGTCACTTTCTTCATGCCTTTATCCATTTTTTGCAGCAATTCCACTTTTTGTTTAATGGACATCGAAACATGCTTTCACTTTGTAGATCCTTTGGCAGCTCCAGAATTGGAAACTCTTTTTGACATAATCGAAAGTTCAAACTTACTTTTTATAAAATTGCTCTAACAGTCTGCAAAAAATAATAAGCCGGATCCAATTTGAAGATTAACCCCTTCGAGCCGGGTAGCGCAAACGCGCGCTTATCGCGGAGGCCGGCAGTGTCTTACGCGAGCGTCTGTCCAGGGCCGGGGCCTTTTTTGCTACTAAGCCTAAATCCATGAAATTTCCGAAGTATCAACGTATTGTTTAATAATGCTCTATAGAGTATTTAAATGGCTTATGCTTTATAAATATTTTTATACTACATACTTTAATTACCTTATTTCTTGTTTAAATGCATATTTTACACATTTTATTTTCATTACTCACCATTTTATGACTTTTAACATTATACATCTGAAAACTAAATATATTACTTAAAATTCTGTTTTCGTATGAAAAATTTGAAAACAGGGATCTACACACAGTCCTACGTTACATTCCTTGCACTCGTAATAACTCATTTGCCGTTTTGGAGGATTTTTCTAGGAATGTGGACAAACGAAGCATCGTCGTCTCATTTTCTTATCAGTCTCTTCTGAACAAAGTTTTGGAAAATGTCTTTCAGTTAATCTTTCAGAATCAGTATCAGAATATATGAATTTCAGAATCAATATCTGAAATATTTTGCATCATTTCTGCTGTTTCTCTGTGAAACATTTTCGACGCTTCGACATTGCAACGGTAAAAACAGAAAGAATTCACGTTTAACAAAATCTAATTATTTTCTAAAAACTGAACTGCAAACCGAAATACCCAACACTTTAGCGCAAATAAAACTTTTCTACTTAAATAAACAACTACCACGTGCGAATAAAGTGCGATTTAAAGCGACGTCATAAATCACGCTATTCAGAAACATTTATTTCCCCTTTTGCTTATATAATCAAAAACATGTGTATGTGAGTCATGTTTCTCTCATTTCGAGAAGAAGGTCTAATGTACATGTATCTGAAACCATATGGACATACAGTGCCATCTTGTGGCAGAAATTATAGTTTTTACAATGTTCTAGGACACTGGCACAAATACGTGACAGTCGGTAGTGAACGGGAAATTGCTCTGGCACACCTGGGTTTCGGCCGGGAGGTGAGTGTGTTCGTTGCTGGCACGTAGACGTAACAGTCGACGCGAAGGGGTTAAGGAACAACGCAATGTGCAACATTAACTGAAATAGATAATTAGATAATTTTAGCTTAGCTTATACCGTCCGTTATACATTAAACGCGCATGCATAAACGTATTATGCGCATATGCGTTTAACTGTGAAACTGCGCATGTGTAAACGCATGCGCAGAAAGTTTGTAGCTTTGAGGTCCGGATTATGGACATTCGGATTAAAGACTTTTGACTGTATGTATATATAGAGAGAGAGTGAGAATAAAAAATGATTGAATTATGTGGTTTTTATATTGTGGTTAAGGATTTTATGTCTTTACTTATTCTGCATGCAATAATTGTAGAATTATCAACAATTAAAAAGTGGCAGGTTATGCCTTACGAACCATCATTTGTTTACATTTGAAACTCGGTAAAATAGTGAATGAAGGCACATTCAATGTCTTTTTGTCAAATGGGGCCAAAAGTATACTTTCAGTTTTGTGCACCAAAAAATCTACTTTCTTGGCCGCTGGCTGAATTGCTTGTTTTTGCGTAGAAACTCTAATTTTAATTGTAAAAAAAAAAAAATTAAATAAATAAATAAAATAATAATAATTAAAATAAATAAAATAAATAAAAATTTTTAAAAAAAAATGCTTTCACTGAATTTCTGTTTATGTTTTCGCTTTGCTGCAAAGTGAGAACTGAATTATATGAATGAGAAATATATCTCTAATGAAACTACAGGAAATAAGTTTAAATGAAATGCAGCCAAAACAGGCCATACAAAGAAGTCATGTGGTTTTCACACATAAAAAAAAAAAAAAAAAAAAAAAAAAAAAGCCCCTTGGGGGGGGGGGGAGGTTTCCAAATCCATTTGAACATATTTTTTGGGGGAAGAAGCATGACATTTGTACATATGCAGAAAATGAAGGACTTTTTTTTTTTCCCCCCCCAAATCAGATTGCAAAATGAATTTAAAAGGGTCTTTTCCAGATAACTGTAAGTACATATATATGCAGGTACCATACAAAAAATTAGCTGCAAAAGACAAATTTGTATATGGGACTGCTATAGCATCTAGTTGTGCACTTCCCTTTTATCTGTAATCGGCATATTCACCCCTTTTACCTGCCTTTTATTTTTGCCATCATTGGTCACAGTTATATAACTACTTTCAATTACAGAAGTGTTTTAAATGATGAAAATATTCATGTTTTCACAATCATGTTTTCGCAATGTCAAATTTTAAAAATAATTTTCGACAAACAGCGAAATCTAACTTTCAGTGCAGTCTCCCAGTTCCTGTACTTATATTTGTTAAAGTTTTAATACCAGTTAAGAAAAATAAAAATATAAGAAGTTTGACTCCCGCATGCCAGAAACTGACCTTAGAATCGTTCGAGGAAATAAGTTTAAACGAAGTGCTGAAGTCATGTGGTGCCTTTATCCATTTTTTTATTTTCCATTAGATTTTTTTTTAATGAAAACTGTTCATATGACATCAATTACACTTACCAGAAAAGATAACAATTGCTGTTAGCAGAGCATATTCAGCATTATCCACTTTGAGAACACACATATTTCTGCAGAAATGGAAAATTGAGTCCGCAGAGTCTCCCATACAGGCACTGCGGTAATTCTCTCTTGTGTATGGCTGGTTGTTAGCAAAAACAATGGAATCTGTTTTAATATCATACTTCCTCGCTGTCCTCAACATCATCACTTCACTCGAGCAAGCCTAAATTTAAGCAGAAACTATGAATGAATAATTGCAGCAAACACTACATAATGCAATTTTGTTTAAAGAATATTTTATAAATCCTTGCACTTCCTGCACTGTATTTTTAATTTATAAAACACATTAAAATATAATCTAAATCAAATTAAAAACATTTATGTTATTTTTAGAGTTTTTTAAAGAAGAGAAAAGGGATTGATCTAGCACTGGCGAAAGGAGTGCAAGGGGCAAAATAGGCTGAGAACTACTGGTGTAGCTAGACTCTTGCCTGCTGCTTCTCTTCTTACAAGTTCCAGAACAAGAGCATTAACTGAGCCAATTTATTTATGATGACTAATAAAATATACATCAACTGAAATAAAAAGTACTATATATAACTGATTTCAATTATATACTACAGTACAAAAGTCCGTAATCCAGACTCGTCGATTCCGGATAAGGGGTTTTCCGGATTATAGATCATAAATTTAAATCTGAAAAGATGGCATGCAGAAATTATACAATTAAAAATATGAAACCATAATTTATGAAATAAAGAGCAATTATGGTCTAAAGGGTATCAAAATTTACAAAAAAAAAAAAAAAAAAAAAAAAAGGTTAATATTTTACTTTTTTAAACATTTCTTTCAATGTAAGTTGTTTAAGTCGCTTCATTTTTTTGTGCTAATACTTTCTCTTTAATTCTATAAACAGACATAATTTCTTGTTCAGTTACAAAGTTCTACTGTTCAAGTCCTGTAATTGCTGTGTCGAGAATACTGACTAACTTGTCAATCGAAATTTTTTCGTTTTCAATAACCTCTCTGTCACTTTCTTCACTATCGGAAGCGGTATTTTCTGGATCTAGAACCACACTTCAGATTTTGTTGTCCGTTAATTGATTGATGATTGAGGCATTGTCGTCACAATGAAAAACTTCTGTTATATCATCTTCATTTATTACCGCTTCTCCACATTTCTTTACAAAATCCAATAAACTGGAAAATTTCACCTTTAGTTTGTGATGTCCAAAAATCTTAAAATTTGCAGCTATCGTATTCATCGTCCTCACCATGAAATATAGTAGCTGGCCATAAATTATGCCAAGCATTTTTTAACGTATCTGGAGACACATCCTCCCAACGTGCATGTGCATGCGTAAAGCATATTAAAAAAAGTTTGTGGCTTTGAGGTCTGGATTAAGATCATTCCGGATAATGGATGTCCGGATTATGAACTTGGTACTGTATATTGTGTGTAACTGTATTGATTGTATTGGAATTATATACTATATATGTAAGATAAAATTATATGAATCAGAATAACTAAAACATTAATTCTTCCTCTTTATTCTAAAATCGTAATAACTTCTCTGCATTGCATCATTTCTAGATCACTCTATGGCCCGCGCAACTCTGATGACGTAATAATTAAGAACTGAAACTGACCTTGTACACCAAAACTTTTCTCTTCACGTGCTTCCATCTTGCATAACTACGCACTTCAGCTTTTGCCCTCTACTCTGCTAAGATGTAATTTCGCTGGCTTGCTTTCTATCTCAACAATATCAAAAATGTAAATCTTCTGTGGAAAGGCACGACTAGAGTGCCAAGTGATTGTGGCCACAAATATCAATTGGAAATAAAAATGGAATTAAAATCGCTTCCACTGCCAAGTTTTATTTACGAAGTCAACACATTAGCTTACGACGCAATCAGATTACTTCTTCTTCAATATGGATCTAAGCATCGACACTGCTCCGTTTATTTCCTTTTGCTTTTATTATGACATATATATAACTGTATTGTATTACATGTAATTGATTTAAATTGGCCATGACAGCAAACTATACTTTATGCCATCAACATCTGTCAACATTTCTAAATTATTACACATATAAAGACACAGAGAGGAAAAAATAGCAACAATTGAATCATGTTTCAAGTTACTGAGCAGCTAACCATTGTAATATTAAACAGTTCAATATCACACAGATTAAAAAATTTTTCTTAGTCCTCCTCGGCACTGTACAATCTTTTAAAACTTTTAATTTTCGGGTCAGTTTTCCAATTATTATATAACAAATACAGTCAAAAGTCGTTAATTCGGACACCCATAATTCGGAAGGATCTATAATCCGGACATCAAAACTAAAAACTTTCTGCGCATGCGCCGCGTTGACACATGCGCAGAGGCGTTCACGCGTGCGCGTTAGACCTTTTACGACTGCGCATATGAGTGTGCGCAAGTGCAGAATACGTTTTCGCGTGTGCATTTTATGTATAATGGACGTATAAGCTAAATAATTATCTATTTCAGTTAATGTTGATGATTGCGTTGTTCCTTAATTTTCGAATTGCATCCGGCTTATTAATTTTTGCAGACTGTAAGAGCAATTTTATAAAAGTAAGCTTAAACTTTCGATTATATCAAATAGAATTTCTGATATATATTTGTTAATATGTAAAGGATCTAAAGCGAAAGTATGTTTTGAAATCCGAAATCTGTTTATCAATTTCATGCGGGGCTTAATGAATTGGAAGTTGATTTGTCAGCACTATCCTTATCTTCAGCGCAGATGTTTTTATTTTATTTGGCTTATAATTCCTTACCAAATGTAGTATTTCATCTCCATATGCTGGGTCTTTGATATGATTTAAAACAAGTTCCTCATCTTTGATATGATTTAAAACAAGTTCCTCGTCATTATAATTCGCTTCTGATAGGGAAGAAAAGTGACAGAGGTTATTGAAAACAAAAAAATTTCGATTGACAAATTAGTCGGTGTTCTTGACACAGCAATTATAGGACTTGAACGGTGGAACTTTGTAACTGAACAAGAAATTATGTCTCTTTAATAGAATTAAAGAGAAAGTATTATCACATGAAACGAAGCAAAACTTAAACAACTTACATTGAAAGAAATGTTTAATAAAGTAAACAAATAAATATTAAGCTTTTTCTTTTTGCAAATTTTGATACCCTTTAGATCATAATTGTTCTTTATTTCATAAATTACGGTTTCATATTTTTAATTTTAGAATATCTGCATGCCATCTTACGAGATTTAAACTGATGATCTATAATCCGGAAAAATCGATAATCCGGAATCGCTGAAGTCCCGACGAGTCCGGATTAACGACTTTTGACTGTATACCTATTTTATTTATTCACTTATACTCCAGCATGTAACTTTAAAAAAAATTTAATTATTTGCATAATTTTCAAACCAAATCCTGATTTTTGGAATAGACTCCTTTAGGACATGCTTTTCAAGACTTTCTTTAAGTCCTCAAAATGCAGCCAAAGATGTTTTATACTTTCATCTCAAAAAGATATTAAAATGCAGTGAATGTAATTTAAAAATAACAATAAATTTTACATTAAAAAATTTTACCTTCAATAATGTGATTTGGTCTTCTCGAGAAAGGGTGTCAAAACCCGGAACTCTCTTCGAGAATTCGACAATAAGTTGGACGGTCAAAATGGTTATTTCGGTGATGTGTTGGAATCTCTTCATACTATCTTCCTCACTATCACCTAAAGGAAAAGCCTACAAGAAGAAGAAAGAAATTATGTTTGAAATAATTACAAACATAATAATAAAAATTACATTTTCTTTCCATGTGCTTCAATCACTATAAATCAGAAAAACTAAAGCTTTCAAAATAGCAACCAATATTTCAGCTAGGATATTGTATAATAAATAGTAAATATGAATACAAAAGCATAAAAAAATTTGTTATTTTTATTTGACACCAATATACCTATCATTTCAAGCAACAAATAACATGAAATCTAATGATATTATTCAACCAATTAAAAAGAGAATAACTGTAGGCAAACATATCTGACCGAAATTATTCAGATAGGTAAGAATATGAGAACATGAATAAAATTTGTAAAAAGCATTAAATAAAATTACAGGAGTTACTTATCTAAATGTAAATAATCAGACATTTGCATTTCGATTTTTAAATCAGCCTAATTAATTTTTAACTAATTAAAAATTGACAAATAGGAATAATACTAAATCACATTACAACAACTAATAGTTACTTTAATAGTGTAATTCCTATATCGACCAGAACCATTTGTTATCAGTTGGTTGTTAGTGGCCTGCACTCATGGGATCCATTAAGAAAACTGCCTTTGACCCCACATTATAGATGCCAACATTTGCAATGGAGCTGGGCTCAAGCGACGTGGACGACGAAACGGCACAGGCCGTGTTTTCAGATGAGTCATGCTTCTGTTTCTCCAATGAGAGTCACCACGTACAAGTATGGCATTGATGTGGAGACAGGTCCAATCTGGCAGCAATTGTGAAACTCCCAACTGCTCGGCAACACGGCTCCATGATTTGGGGTGCGATTCTGTATGATTCGAGGTCAGCTCTAGTTCATATTCAGGGCACTATCACAGCTCAATGATACAAGGATGATGTGCTGTGGCCAGTGACACTCCCCTAATCTTCAGGAAATGCCCAATGCTCTTTATCAGCACACCCGACCACACACTACTTGCATCAGCCAGCATGCTCTGCAAGGCATACAGATGCTTTCCTGACCACCGTTCTCTCATCAATTGAACAGATTTGAGATATGACTGGACGATGTTTGCAGACCCTCCCACTGCCACGTTCAGAAGATAAACTGTGGCAAACCATTTACAGGGAATGGAAAGCCTGTAGCGAACACGTGTTTAATGTAGCAAACATGTGTTTGGGTGAAGCCTCGGTAGTTGCTTGCTTTTGTCACTATCTATTAACACCAGTGAGAAGTGCAGCATCGCATGAGCAGGTTCAGCTGGGTTGGTTTATTATTACAAGTAGACTTCTTTACCGCTAGCACAAAAAAGCTTCATTGCGCTAGGTTCAAGAATTCCAACTCATTCAAATTTGTGAGCATTGAGATGTTCTTGAGATCGCTACAAGCCATTCTTCAGGACACCATCTGCAGTCTCATTGATTCTGTACCTAGATGTGTTGCTTCATGTATTGACATCGAAAATGGTCCTACAAGCTACTGAGCCAACGCTGTTCTCGCTCTGTATTATGAATATCACTTTGAAATAAGTATCACTTATTGTTTGTTGGTGTCTCTCTGTTTGCCGAGTTTCATCACTTTCTGGTCACTCCTTCTTGGTGTTGCATTTTCAATGTCGGGTAGTGTACATTAAAATTAGACATGCATATGTTAGTTAATTAGCATGCAAGCATGTTAGTAGCACAGATCACAGAAGGATCTCCTTTTCCCCCAATTTGATTACTACAAAAAAAAATAATAATTATAATGCCAAGAATGTTAAACTTGTCATAATTCAGTATATCACATATAACACTTTCAGGTGTACTCTTCTTTGCCAACATATACCATAATTTCCAGAAGAAAGGCCGCATCAGCGTAAACGGCGCACTCGAGAAAAATGGCGGGGAAAAAAATTTAAATTACACAGAAACGCTGCATCAGCGTAAATGCCACAATAGATTAAATTGCACATGACATTGTCATGGGCCGTATAGATACAAAATCTCAACCTAAGTTCTGATATATGACATACCAGTTAAGAAAAATGCATGAAATGAAACCATAACTAAAATTAAATTAAAGGTAAGAAATGTGGAAAAATATATTTACCTTCACGGCGTATATACTTATATTTAAACACTAAAGAAGTCCATATTTGTAATACTAGGACTATATTATAAAAAATGTTGCAATAACGAAATATTAAATTTGGATGACAAAAGGAAATTTTAAATTTTACTTACAAAAGGAATTACAGCAAACTATACATCATATGAAGACATCAAAATCTCATTCTTCACTATCTGAATTAAAAAGATTTAGTAAATCCTGTTCTAAGTCTTCCAGATCGTCACATTCATCCTCTTGGTTTACAGTCTCTTTATCTAAAGATATAATTTCAGCTTCTTTGAATCCTGTTATTATTGACAATGTTTTTACCGATTTCTACGCACTTCCTACCCACTTTGCAACTTCTTCATAAGCTGCTCTACGCATTTTACTGCTTTTGGTATACGTATGCAATCCTTCACTCATCCAACACTCCCACCGCTTTCGGACTTCAGCTTTGAAGGATTTATTACCTGACAAATCTAACGGTTGTAAGATTTTTGTCAAACCACCAAGAAATATTGCTTCGGTCGTAGACAATTTTTGACATCTTGTTTTCACTGATTCAAGTAAATGAGCACGCATGGAATCCATTATCAATAACCCTTTTGGTTGGAAAAAAGATCCCATACAACACTGCCAAACTTTTTGTAGCCACTCATGCATGATTGTTTCGCACATCCAGCCATTCTCGTTTGCACAAATAATTACGTCATTAGGAAAATCTCCCTTCGGAATAGTCTTTCGTTTGAAAATGATCATCAGCTTTAGCTTGTCACCGTTTGCGGCACAAGCTAACACACATGTAAATGACGTTCTTTCATGCCCCGTCGTAAGCACAGATACAGTTTTTGCACCAGTTTCATCAACAGTTCTGTTTGCAGGAGAGTCGAAAGCTAACGGCGTTTCATCCATATTTATTATCTGTGACCGAAGAAGTTTTTTTTTGTCAATAATAGCTGTCACATATTTTAGAAAAGAAGACTTTTTATCCTGCCAGTCCATTGGTAATTGTTGCCCGACTGTTGTTCTAGTACGCACAGAAATATTTTTTCTTTTCATAAATCTGCTACACCTCCTTTGAAATCATTTATGTTCATTCGTTTTGCTATAAATTTTGCTTGTAAGCGAATTTTTACAGTCGAAATTGCCATTCCCTTTCCTCGTTGCTTCTTTATCCAGTTTGCAAGGTCGTCCTCTAGATTCGTCCACCTTACAGTACCACTTCTTTTGGCTCGTTTTTGTTGTGGCATATTTTTATGAAGTTCTTTTTCAGTTTTCCAACGTCAAATACATCTCTCGTCCACTTCAAACTCTCGAGCTGCTGCTCAATTTCCAGTGAAATTACATTCAGCTTAAAACCAGCAGTATAGCTTCTGTGCCGTTTAGGTGACATTTTCAAAAATTTTCCGCTCCCTTCTTACTTAAAAACTATCCAACAAATACTTGTACCCAAACTGATGGGATCTGTATCTAGCAGAATGCCAAGAAAAATCGATTCATGCCGAAGAGGAAATACGTCAGAGTTCGTTATTGCGAGGCAGATGGAGTCGTGTCCGCCTTTGAAAAAATTACAGAAAAGGCATGGGTGGGGAAAGGATGGGTCTTGGAAGATTCATGGAATGGTAGAGGAAAGAGACTATTCAAACTGATGACAATGTTGATTTGAAAGGGGGAAGAATGTTATTGTTCTGAGATCTCGTTTAGGGTGAATAAGGCATGCAGGTCCGTTCAAGGAAAAGAATGTAAACAAAATAAAGTTCGCAAAAAGCAACTAAGTGGTCTTTTGTGTGGGAACAGCACCAGTCTATGCACAATGACAAGGCCATCCAAACTATGTACAATGACCATCATAGGAAATATTTTATTTTTAGTGCACCTAAACGCCGCATGGGTAGAAATGCCGCACCCACTGAAAATTTAAGTTTCAAACATTTAAACGCTGCGGCGTTTCTTCCGGAAATTACGGTATTAGCTATCTTAAACCATCGACTGCAATAGTTTTTAAGGTTTTAGATGCTGATATTGAAATTACACTGAAAAATAAATCACCCACCTGCAAAAGAAATTTATTTTTGGAGTAGTCACGTTGCTATTATTTTACAGTCAAAAGTCGTTAATTCGGACACCCATAATCCGGAATGATCTATAATCCGGACCTCAAAGCTACAAACTTTCTGCGCATGCTTCGCGTTCACGCATGCGCACAGGCGTTTACGAGAGCGCGTAAGACCCTTACGGCTGCGAATATGTTTGTGCGCATGCGCGTTTAATGTGTAACGGAGTTATACGCTAAGCTAAAGTTATCTAATTCAGTTAATGTTGCAGATTGCGTTGTTCCTTAATCTTCGAATTGGATCCGGCTTATTATTTTTTGCAGACTGTTAGAGCATTTATAAAAAGTAAGCTTGAACTTTCGATTATGTCAAATAGAATTTCCGATATATATTTACTACAAAGCGAAAGTATGTTTTGAAATCCAAAATCTGTTTATCAATTTCACGCTACTCTGCGGCAGGGGGGGGGGGCAGAAACGTCATTATTAGATTATGATAGATTAGAAAGATTATGTCAAATAGAATTTCCAATATATATTTACTAATATGTAATTTGTATCTACAAAGCGAAAGTATGTTTGAAATCCGAAATCTGTTTATGAATTTCACGCTGCGGATTGGAAGTTGATCTTCAACAACTATCCTTATCTTCAGAGCAGATGTTTTATTTTATTGGATTATAATTCGGTACTAAGTTTAGTATTTCACTAAGTTTAGTATTTCGTCTCCATGTACTCTGTCTTTGATATGATTTAAATCAAGTTCCTCGTCATTATGATAGATTAGAAAGATTATGTCAAATAGAATTTCCAATATATATTTACTAATATGTAATTTGTATCTACAAAGCGAAAGTATGTTTTGAAATCCGAAATCTGTTTATGAATTTCACTGTTTTTATTTTATTTGGATTATAATTCGGTACTAAGTTTAGTATTTCGTCTCGATGTACTCTGTCTTTGATATGATTTAAATCAAGTTCCTCGTCATTATAATTCGCTTCTGTCATTATAATTCGCTTCCGATAGTGAAGAAAGTGACCCAGAGGTTATTGAAAACGAAAACATTTCGATTGACAAATTAGTCGGTATTCTCAACACAGCAATTATAGGACTTGAACAGCGGAACTTTGTAACTAAACAAGAAATTATGTCTGTTTAATAGAATTAAAGAGAAAGTATTATCACATGAAACGAAGCAACTTACATTGAAGGAAATGTTTAATAAAGTAAACAAATAAATATTAAGCTTTTTGTAAATTTGATACCCTTTAGATCATAATTGTTCTTTATTTCATAAATTACGGTTTCACATTTTTAATTTTGTAATTTTTGCATGCCATCTTACCAGATTTAAACTGATGATCTATAATCCGAAAAAATCGATAATCCGGAATCGCCGAAGTCCCGACGAGTCCGGATTAACGACTTTTGACTGTACTCATTTACAACAGGTGAAATTTACAATATTTTTATTAGACCAAAACGGCTATCAGACTTGAAAAATGAATTTGCATTGCTTCACTTTAAATTTCGTCCACTATCACTTTTCATTCAAGTCTGTTGCCATTTGGGATAAAAATTTTATTCTTTTTATATTTAATCTATATGTTATTAATTAACACACAAAACTATTTAAAAGCAAGAGACGGCTATGTTAGGAATATATATTTTTTCCTTTACTTTTTAATCTGATTGATTTAAATACAAATGCATTTAATTAATAACATGTCTAAAAAACATCTAATACTTTTGTTGAATTACACAATATATTTTTTCATTTTTTAAATATGCAGAAGATATATTATGCCCCCCATGTTAATCTAAAAGCATATTCATCTAATGTGTCAAAACTTTCTTTTTTTGCATAAAAGATTGAGTACATAGTCTACTTTATTATTACTGTTTTAATGCTGGTAAATGCAAAATTTTGTATTTATGTAAATAATACTAATAACATGCTTTATGTATCATTAGCTCCTATTAATGATAAGTCCTCAATGCTCATTTTAAAATTATTTTGCGATATTGTTGTTGAACTGAATTTTACAGTATAAGTGCAAAGAACACGATATTTAATAAGGTACACAGAAAACGTTAAAAAAAGCACCCTTTTGGGCATAATGTAAAATCTGATAGCTTTCAGATTTTCTTTTTTTTTTTCTTTTTTTTTTTTTTTTAATTTAAAGAGGCATGAATATTGCTCTGGATGGCATAATGTGTAACATTGGCCCTGGGGGTATACTGTAATCCAAACACCTCTTCTATATTATGCATGAATATACGGGGATTACTGTTCTAAAAATTTTAAAAGTTTCTTACTGTAATTTTCTTGAAATCCTCCTCGGACGGTGACTCATATTCTTCCTGGAACACGACTAGTCGGCTGATTAATTCTTCCTGTGCTTTGCTAATGGCCTTTGGCTGACCACTATTTGGTGGACTACCAGGTTTCTCTTCTTTGTCGGAACCGCTGTCACGCGTTGTACTGTTTGGCTTGTCCTTGTCTTTCTGGGCCTTTTTTGTTTCTCGCTTAATGGCACATTGGTATTCGGGAACAACACCTGAAAAAAAAAATGCATTGCATTATTATTGAATAAATTTTTATTAAAATCATGTATTTTATTAGCATATTACTTACTTCAAAAAATTCGAAAATAAATTAGAATACCCTATTTTTTAGACAAATTCATTTGGTAGCATGAAATTTACCAGATTACACTTAAATAGACTACATTAACTTTCACACATCTCTTTACTTTTAATATCGAAAAGGAAACTGTTCCTTTCAGCAGAGCACATCGTGGGTGGGTACTACATCACTGCTCATATTAAAGCATCTATTTTTTTTTATGAACACATGCTGGAGGCCTTTCGTGAGAAAATTAATTAAATTATTGGTGATACTTTTGAGACAAAACTGAATACATATTTTTCCTTTTAACTTAAAATCAAAGGATAGTTTACATGTTTTTAAATACCTAATGACACATTTTAGATTTATATTGTTTTCAAAAAGAAATTTTAAAAGAGCAAATAGCATTACATTTGAGTCAAACTGTATTATATACAGTATTCTACTTTTTACTTTATTTAATGCTGTTCATAAGATATTTTCAATGATAATTTAAACAAATCAGTAGTTCAAATAACATTTATAAAATTGAACCCTTAAAAACTGTTTATTATTAATATACAGCTTTATAATATGTGACAAGAACAGAAATAATTAACAATACACATTTTAATGAATTTTCAACAAAATTTTAACTAATTTTCAATGCTAACCATCTAAAATAAATTAAAATTTAATCGAAGTCTTACATTCTGGCCTCATTCCAACACTGAGGCATTTCTTCAACCTGCATTCTTGGCATTTTCTCCTCATATACATGTCAATTTCACAGTTATTGCCATATTTGCACTGGTATACAGCATTTTTTGTAATACTCCGCCTGAAGAAACCTAAAAGAAATAAAAGAAAATTTTATTATAGTCATTTGAGAAATGTTTTATGATATTATGAGAAAAAGCTAAATATATTCATTCATCTTTATAGAAATAAAAATAAATATACTATGTTGGCAGGAAGGACACATAAGCATTTATTATATTAATTTATCCCTCTTAGATTTCATTTTTTTAAAACAAAGTTTAATTCAAATAGGAATACTTTGTATTGAATACTTCATAACATCTTACAGTTGTCTAAATGATCATACATTGCATATTATTCCCTATCAGTAGTATTAGTAGTATATTATGAATCTGATTAGAATTTTTATTTTAGAATAAAAAATTATTGTTACTAATTCCAGGCCCAGGTACAGAAGTTAATAAAATGTTTGGGTCAGAGAATATGTTCACTGTTGCTCTTTAGACTTCCTGAAATAATTCTACATACTTGCCACTTCATAATTAAATACTGATAAAAAAAATTCAAAATCCATACTCATGAAATGTACTGTGCCACAGCACTGGCTGAATTTGCAATACTGCAGTTTATCAAGTCCAAGCAATGTGAATTTTGAATAGCAAACATAACTGCCTGTGTACTTTTACAGAAATTATCTTTGAATGAAGGGTTAACTTTCAAGCAAGGCCTGATAGTTCGTGTGACAACCTTCTTGGAGAAGGCATCATACAGACTAGTCCATTTTCAGTAGTAATTGGGAAAGAGGTTATTTATTTATTTATTTTGAATGCATAACAGTAACAAAGCTCAAGTTTCTTTCCATGCACCTGCTTGATCAGGAACCAGCCAACATGCCACAGAAGTGTTCATATGTATGAAAAAGCATGAATTGGAGAATATGCAAAAGCAATATTTAATATGCAGGAGCAATAGCAAATTGTCTATTTCTTGCTAGAGCTGAAATATTTCTCCAGTCTCTGGTGTACTTCATGCTGTTCATATGTTACTCTAATTGCGACTACTGAAATATACTGTTCCCCCTAATTCATATTAATTACACATAATGACAAGAAATCTACAACTACTCTAGATAACTGAGCACTCATTACCTTTACAGCCTTCACATGTAAGAGCATTATAGTGGTAACCTGACGCTCTGTCTCCACAAACTAGACACAGTTCTTCTTGCTGACGGGGAGCAGGGCCTTTCTTTTTCTTGTCATAATCATAGCAGCCATTCATAACACTGCTAGGTGGACTGAGCTCATCTTTATCTATAAACAAAAAGGTCATGGTCACTGATGAAACTTTCAAAGCAAATCAATATTATTCATTTTAGATAAATACTGCAAAGTATATTAACTGAACTGAATTTTTTTGCTGGCAGTCAACCTAAAGTGTGTAATTTTTCAAAATTTTCATCATATATATTTAATCCTAAATAAAAAGTTAAAATAAATTAGCTGTTACACTTGAAGCATACAGCATGATTTGCGAGACAAGGAAATGTAATAGTTTTGGGATTCAAATTAACATCATGAAATTGAAAACAAATATATATTTATTTTATGGAACTATAGTATATACAATGTCATTTATTATTATCATGGCAAAGTTTTCTTTCAAGCGTTTTACTTCATGATCCAACACATTTTTCAAATTGAAGAATGAGATTTCAAATTGAAGAATGAGATGATTTTTTCAGAAACATACGTTGGCAATATTACAGATTCTGAAAAGCTAAGGTCCCAGCAAGATGGAACACATATTGCTTAATAACCCAAGACTGTACTTCAGCATATGTTGCTTTCACGTGATTACTTAAAGAGGAGAGGTGGGTCAATATGCTTTCCAGACTTGGAAACATGCAACTTTCTTTGAGGCTATCAGTTTCAAGTATACGCTAATATATCTAGAAACACTGGCAAACTCAGGATAACATTACAGGAAACAACTATGATCCAAAGAATGATGGAAAATACGCGAGGAGCGTTGCACAAATGGTGCAGAGTACTTGAAAAACATTTTACTTAAAAAAAAAAAGAGAGAGAGAGAGCGAGAGAGAAGACGCAGTTACAATAAATGGCATTATAGTAAAGTGACCACACGTCCCGATTTTGGTTGGACAGTCCTGCTTTTTATAGGACTGTCCCATGTCCCGCCGACTTTTAAAAATGTCCCACTTTTTAGAAAACATCTGCATTTCTTATTTTAAATGTACTGTAAAAATGTATTACCTATTATTTATTAATTATTATCATGAATATAAAGAAATAAAAAAAACACATAAAATGCATGCAGAGTAAACTAATTTAGGTGATGTAACGAGTTAGATTTACTTGGTGGGGTTCGATGTCGTTACGTCTCGTCAAGGAATACGTATTGTTAACAGGAGGAACAGCTAGCATTAGCGGAAGGGCTATTTGCTTTCCACACCATAAACCACAATCAAAGTTTCAGATCAATTGATTGTATGTCGCAAATGATCAAAACATTGTACGAAAAAAATTTGCATGTGCAAGGACAAAAACCGAAGCAATTATTTGTAATGTTTTTTCACCATATTCGTTTTCACAATTGCAGAAAGAATTAGAAAAATGCACATTTATATCCATATATTTATAAAGCTTCCAACCACAAAGATTTAAAATTATTTCCCACAACTGTTCTGACTTTTTGATCCAGAAACAGAAATTAAAATCTGAATATTAGATTTTGTTTCATTGCTGGGAGAAACTTCATAAATGATTTTTTGATTCAATAAGTACTATTTTAAAAAAGAATAATTTGAACAATAATATTATTGCCTATTGTGAGGATAACACTAACACAAATTTTGACGAAAAAGCTAGAAGAGGCATCAATAGTATTTTTATGAAACTTAACGAACATTTGAACCAAAAAATTATTGGAGGAGGCTGTGCAGTGCACATTCTATACAGTACTATTCAAACAGCATCTGACTTACTTCCAAAGGATCTTGAAAATATCATTGCAAAAATGTTTTCGTATTTTTTTATTTTTTGTGAAAGTGCAGAAATCGAATATTAAAAAAGGAGATTTTAAGGGAATATGTGGAAAAATCTTTTTAATTAGAATCCATTTTCCGAAAAATAATACTTGCAAACATGATCATTTTGATGAGGTGTCATTGGTAAAAAAATTTGTCACTGAAGAGAAAATTAAATGTTGGTTATCTGCAAATATGGAAACAGACAAAAAGTGGATGGAGTTATTCCTTCATTTTAAACAGAATAATATTTCTTATGAAAATATTTTGAAAATTGTAGAACACGTAGTCTCCCTTACAGCAGCAAATGCAGCAACAGAACATGTTTTTTCTAAAAAAAACGTTATTTTGTATAATTATAGACAAGTATATGAATATATACAATAAAATATTTTTTTGAATTATTGGTCTGCTTTCATAAATAAATTAAAATTCTAAATTCATTCTATTTGCCCCAGTTTGTCTCAATGAAAATGTGGTCACTTTACATTATAGCCTATCGCTTTGCAAAATAAACAAAAATCTGAATTACATTTCATGATATCATTTTCAATCTGAAAACTATCAGATTCCTGTAACTAGTTTTTATTGTATAGTTTGTAAAAGAACATTAAAGCGATAACAGCATTCATAATTTCCTTGTATTGATATATTTGGTAAAGTGTTGCACTGAACGGTTTAGAAAACATAAAAAATGCAAAATTATTAATTTTTTCGCATGAAACTTTAGGAGTCGTTAGGTTTGCAGCCATCAAGTTAGAATTTACAACAACGTTTATATCTGTCGCTTTGTGAACAGAAAAGTATCTCTCAAAAACACAATTTTATAGATTAACGAAAAATCAATCCATTTTGATAATGCTTAAAATAAATTTTTCTTGTGAGGGTGTGATGTAATAAATTTTCGTAAATATTTTTTTGGGAAAATTATGAATAACAAAAGTGTAGTCTGGATGCTTTTTATTTCAAACTGAAGAATACTAACTACCAGATACAGCATATGCAGCATTAATGGCATAGCTTATATATGCTTCTCCATTGCTTTATTTTCAAAAGTTATATACACATAATTACTACGTATTAAAATACACTACCTTCACTATTCTCATCATTTTTTAATTGATTTTATATTCAATATGAGTTGAAAATATTTGAAGTACTTTAAATTCTTTCATTTGAATGAATGATCAATTTATGTTCAGCTGGTAAAATTTTACATAATTTTAACAATAGATCTCTAGACCTTTTTTTTTTCCCCCCCTCCCTCCCAGTCATACTAGCTCAGTCGGCCAGACTTATTCATTACCTGTGTAAACAGAAGCAAGAGACTCCTAATATTGCAAAATTTCATGCAACAAGTATGGCAACGACGAACGCGCAGCTAATAATTCTGAGAGTGCATCGAACTGAAAAGGGTTCAAGGCCGAAAAACAAGCCTTTTTTCTAGGAACCTAGTCCGAACATTCTAATAAACTATCTTTTTAACGTAGTTGCGACACCCCACGTAACTGAGGTCAAAGTTACGACGAGGACGGCCAAACAATGGGAAAAATTCCACACAAATGTGCTATAAATTTCGTTTTGTCTCGCTACACAAAAGAATTATTGTTTTATAGGCTGCGTGTCTTTTTATGCAATATGTTAAAAAGTCGTCTGCAAAGCTGTGACCGACTGTAAAGAGTCAAGCGTGCAATTTAAAATTTCATCCAGGTACGAATTTTATAACAATTTTTATACACCCTTGATAAAGTAAATTGAATTATCAGCTAATATAATGCGTGCACAACATTAATCTGAATTGAATACAGCGCAAAAGAACTTTCAACAAGTTTTTACAAAAATGCTAATCACAACGGCTACACACAGATTTCATAAATAGTACCGAATAAACGAATTTATAATTATTATGCATATTATTATATCCTATTTACGATCGTTTGTAATGAATGATTGCAGTCTACACATTTTTGTGATATATTTATTTATTTATTTGCCTTCTCGAAACAGCAGTAACTCCCCTTAGAGAAAATCAAATAAATAAAACAGAACTATGTATAAAAATGCAGCTGAATTTACAAAGCTAAATTAAACAGGAATATACCAAAAAAAACTTTATTTTTCAAATAAAGCAAACATTATCATAAAAGAGAAAAAATTTCAGTCATTCACAGAATTTTTACTGCTTTAATTCCATATAAGAAAAGCAAAATGCGGAAAGTAGCAATTTGATACATGCAATAAAAATTTACTTAATTTTGCGCGATTTCATCCACTATTATCAGAAGATTTAAATGAATCAATCAGATTTTACACGGTTTTTAAAACACTGTCAATGGGCTATGGATTTTTTTTTAAATGAATGACGTAAATTTAGCATTTTTTATTTAATCTTCACATCAAGGGATATATTTCGGCGAATACGATGTTTAATGTTTTACAGAAATATTCGCTGACATTACACGATTCTAACCGGCATTATGTACATTTTCACCGATGCCTCTACATTCTAAAACCAAGAACATCAAAAACTGCAAATAGTCATCAACTAATTTCCTCGAACGTCACTCGATGTGAATACGGGAATAAAACTAAATTGTTCTTCACTGTCGTTTTCTGTTTCGCTTTGCGGCGAGACAAAGAAAAAAAACGATAGAATACGAAAGCAAACAAAAATTATTCGTGCTCTCCACAGAACAGCGGGTGACGCAAGAAGAATAATGCGTGCAAGCAAGGAATCCATTGTTACGCTATTTTAGTTCCGCGAAGCGTAATTCCTTAGGCACACTACGCTTCCTCCCCTCGATTTTATTTTCCTCATTAACTTGCACATGACCATTGAATATTTATTCAACTTTATACAATTCGACTAAAAAGGAACTCCATCTGCTTTATTCAAATGATAAGTTTCTTCCCCCCCCCTTTTTTTCAAATACTTGGGACTAAAACTATTTGATGTTGGCAACGCTTATTTTAAAGAATATCATTCAGATGTACACTTAACAACATGAATAGAATTTCGTAATGTTATTCAATTAAATATGTCATAGATAATACTGTAAAGTTGGCTATGACATAAGTTAAACATCTAAGCTCCTATTTCTTCAGCAGCACATGTTTCAGTTATTACTGGTAGCATTTAAAGTATTACTTAAGAAACATGAAATGAAAAAATACTATTGTTTTCCTTGTGCCAAATTATTTTCGATTCCTACAAAAAATGTTTTCATTCTACATCGGATTCATTTACTCTAGCAACTAGTCCCT